ATCTAACACGGAGTCCATTGTATGCATGATAATTTCCAATTTCGAACCGCGGACGTGGTACATTCGCAGAAGTTTCGCAGAAGTTTCGCAGACATCGTAGTCAGCATCGTCAGTGAGCCTTGTCATTCTTAGCACCAAACTACGACTCGTCAGAGACAAGTGAAATCGATCCTTCGACCAATTATATGCTAAACAGTTATGGTATTTCACTTGTCATGGTGTATTCACCTATCCGATATCCTAGTATCTCTCCTTAACAATCACTATTTATTAGGTGCTTATTTAAACGTTGTTTTGGATTAACCTTTTAACGGATTTCATGAGCCATAGCCACACCCCACGCTAACTTTTTAACCCCATCCGCCCAACCTTGTACTGGAAATGTTGATCTGAGTTTTCCATATAAGTCCGAAATCCTCTTTCCCTAGATCCGTGCAATGTGTTCCGGTATTTCGAATTTTTCCGTATACATGTTGTTATATAGATGTCTTTGATGTTCCTTGATTTGTAGGTCGATCATTCTTCCTGTTTCACCAATATACTTTTGCTCACAATTGCCGCATTTTATACGATAAGCCCCAGAACAATCTACTTTGTCAATCTTCTCGTATTGCGTAGGCAGACTGATGAAGAATGCTGTCTTTTCCCTTGTTATCACCTTAATATTCCATTTTCCTAGTAATGATCGTAATTGTTGGCTCAGTTCACATGAGGGCAGGAATATCAACTTTTGGTCTTCTGAGTCCTGATCGGATTTTCATAAAGTCCGAGTTGAAATCAGCTCTTTATGATGTATTTCCACATTTATTTCTATAAATTCTCTGGGCACCCGCTACTATGGCAAATCCGAGTGAATTTGTCCAACCCCTCGTCCTAGAACTCTAAGTCCGTTATTCTTAAGCTTCTGATGACCAAACTCTTCAGTGTTCCATCTTCAGTCTGTAGTTATTGTGAGACTGAAAATTACGGATTATTCTCGCATATGAATTCTTTCTGAATAGTCTCCTCATGAGTGTCGTCATCTCAATATCCAGGAAGGGTAATCGTTCATCCTCTTCCATCTCCATAGTGAATTTGGTCATAGATACTGCCGCTAAATATAAAATAGATGGTTCTTGCTGTCAGGTTGGTCAGTCGTGTTAACGATTCCTCTCGTATCCGTTCTGCCTCCAAGATATCCTATTCTCGTTCCAATATCTTTAGCAGGGTACGCACCGCCTTCTCGCCTGAAATGTTTGTGTACATTGTTGTACGTTGTAACAGCCCAATGTCATGGATCCTTTGATAAAACTCATATGAATTGTTTAGGACATCCTTACTTTCTTGAGCTTCAAACAAATTAATTTCGCTAGCTTGTTTTTGACTCTTAATCTTAGCGGTTTTCCTTCTTTATGTAGTCCGTAGGCTGTTGGTGGTCTTGCGTCATTTTTAATTAGAGTTCATTATCCTTCTTTCGATTTCTCCGTTATTATGCATTTCCATCAGCATAGCCTTCAATGTCCTGTTGATTTTCATGGTTGGATCCTTCCCTAGTATTTGATAAGTGTTCCGGTCGCCTATAGTACGTTTCATTGTCTCCGTGCCCTGTTTTCCGTCCATTACCACCGTCGTTCTTCCCTTATCCGCCTAAAGAACTATTTGGTCATTCTTTTTGCACTCCTGCGTATTTGCTATTGATGTGCCAGGATTCTTTGGATTATTTTCATTTCCATTTCCCTCTTTGCCTCTCATGGATGTTAGGACATAGGAAGTCATAAACTTGAAGCACGATAGATGTGGCGGCGACAAGAGCTAGTATGCTAACATTAGAATGATTAACTTGTCGTCTCGATACCCTACTTATAAACGAAAAATAACTAATGTAATCTATTGTCAAAGCAAATATAACTTTTTTTCATTAAAAATTTCACCAAAGAATGCGATATAGGAGAATACCTGGCCTTCCTTGAAATTTACATCTGCCCTCTGACCCTAGATCAGTCGTGGTAATGTGGCATACCCGTTAACGTGTCGAGATTACGCGCTGCATTGTCATGGTTCGACTACTGCTGTGGTTGTTGATAGGACTTGGGCGAGGTCGAAACTGCAATCCATTCTGGATAGAAACACGTTTGGGAAAGCAAGGATATGTGAAATTCAATGGAAACTTCAGCCTACAATCAAGAGGGAGACTCTGATAAAACTTATGGTAAGAGGATTGTGGACTAATATAATAGGCTTAGAGCAACAGTCCCAGCAAGAGCATCAGGGAGTTGGGTGTAAAGGTGTGTAATGAAAACCGCTCACACACTATACCACATTTAAATAAGCAAGAAAAGCTTGTTTAGTTCAAATGAGTTCCTATAACTAATCGTAGTAAAAATGTGTCATAGTGCAATTTGGAATATTTTTAGAGCCATATTTTAATGTTTATAAATTAATAAATTAAATACATGACTAAAAAGAAAAGGCACTCAAAAAGTCAAAGCCTTGTTCAATTTCGAAGTTCTTTTTAACATGGAAAGAAGTCTAATGGCAAATTTCATGGTTGGGTAGCCAGCCTAACTTAATCAGCATAAGGCCATGGAGGTGGGAAATTCAGCGATCCGATGCATAAAGTTATCCTGATTACTGTGGAAAAGGACGCAGTACGAGGTACGTTTCAAAAGATCTCTCAGTCGCTCGTGAAAATGAGTTCATACCGACTCGATACAGCAAAAGGAGATTGTGACAAAATCTAAGGCCACATCAATGTGAAAGTCATATCCACGATAAAACTAAAATAGAGGAAAAACGCAGCAAAAAGACAAGGATAAAAATGGCCCAAAATATTTTGCTGACCCACCACAGGACGATAAATTGGATAGGCGAACCAACGAGTTGAAGCAACATTGCAAATTGGCGTTACTAAGCCCTCTTTATTCATTTCGTCTCCAGTATTTCCTATTTCATGAAAGTACGTTTCTGGCAATTGGCGCTCTGGTTGCCTAACTTGTTCGGGTTCAGAGAAAATAGACCAGACAGGAAGGCCGGATTTTCGGCGAGGTTTACTTCCGGAACTCGACGTCCAGGCCTTGCTTATTAAAGAACGCACCGGAGGAGGTGATAGAGAGCTCGAACAGTGAGGGTAATCCGATGCAGAGTCAGTCTTCCAAGGGCCGGGATAAGCAGACTGAGTCATTAGAATGGCAAGCTCTCTGTTGGCAGATGACCTGATCATAGAAGCTATCGAGATAATGAGTGTAAAGAGGAGATGGTGGTATCACAC